AGTAATGTCAGCTTTGCTGATCTAGTAAGATGAGCTGCACATGTGCAGCTCACTGTAGGGGAGCAGACTAGCAAGTAAGTTACTTTAATGCAAAGAGATATAGCATATACAAATCTTTGGCATTGGGAGGAAACTATTTACCCTAAGGTCTCCAAAGAAGACACTCAGCCACACAATGGAATTAGCAGAGAGGTGATTCGATCTCTAACTGTGTGTGTATTGGTTCTTTACAGTTAGAGCAGTAAGTATGCAAAGAATTCCCTCCCATAATTGGTGGTGTCAATGGGGAGTATAGATAGATTAAAAAAAAAAAACCCTATAGATGTGTTTCTTAGCAAACACAATGTACAGGGATATTGTAAATGGTTATGACATATGACTCCTGTGTCTAAGGGGCCAAAAAGTGTGTGAAGATCTGAGTAATGTTGAGTGTAGGCAAGTAAAGGTGTGTAAGCGTATAGACGAGTAAAATTCTTCTTCATTGCCAGTGTTGTAATATACTCATTTATACTCGTGTAAACGAGTAAACATGCAAGTAAATTACTGGACTCAAATAAAAAATTTCATATTTTTGTTTTACTACTCTGTACTCAATGCGTGTGCAATGTCCCATAGACAACAATGCATCTCATTTCAGATAACTCAGCATTTTTTACTCCCATGTGCAACAGGCCTTAAAATATAAATCAGTATGAAGCCCATTCTGGATAAAGTATTGTTAATAATACATGTTATTTTTAGCCTGAAAGATAAACTGAAGAAAATGAAACAAGAAAGAGAGCAGTTGGAGTTTCAAGTAAAGAATGAGAAGGATGAAAAGGAATTGTACAAGGTAAAACATATGTGAAGTCTGTCATTCTGTATGTAAAGATGACCTACTGTGGTTGACATCTGCAGGACATATTCACCAACATCTGACATATATATTAGAGGGAATGATGTTATGTGCATTTCTAGAGTTGTAAGAACGTCTTCTGGGAATGCTATCTTAAGAATGCCAGCATAATGATCAAGTTCAGTGTACAGCAACTGTACCCATCAAGGAAAAGTTGCTATTTTAAAACCCACTTACAGCTAGACGCTTTATTATTGTTTACTTTTGCCTGTCATTAATTTACATATAAATGGAATAATGGGCAACATGTTTAAGTTACTCAAATTTATATATGATTCTTTTGTATTTTTTGCTCTCTATTTTAAGTTTATCTAAAAAGCTGGATACTGTTTTACGTGAAGGGCCTATTTAAATCATAAAATACTGGACATCCAAGCACAATATTATCCACTTTTTTTTTAATGGGCAGTTATGCTAAACTGCAGTTCAGTACCTGACACCCTTTATAGTGTTTTTACTGTGCCCACCTGTTTCATTGCATAGTGCTGACTGGCTTAAAAAACATGGTATTATGCTCCTATGGTAAGAAGATTTCTTTCATAGTTGAAAACTACTTGGGTATGGCAGGCTAAGGGGAGAAGACTTGGCTACTTAGAAATTTCACCTTAGAGCCGTTATCACATTGAAATCCTTCTCCTTTAACTAGGCTGCATCTCCAATAACAGTACTGTTAATTGGCACTAAAGACGAAAACAAAATTGGGTGGCAGTTTGGTAACACTTAAAGTGCACCTAAACCTAAAAACAAAAGTGTAATATGTTTATCTTACATGTGTTTTTGTTTCCTTTGTTTTTTTTTTTTTTTTTTTTTTATTTTTTACTGGTGTTGCTTTAACACACTTCGTGCACTAGAATGACAATGCTCAATCGCCGCACTGTATCTATGGAGGAGCACTGTTGTCACCCCAGGCTGCCCTCCTCATTTGGACTAATAACACCTCCCCCCACCCTTCATCTTCATTTAGAAGAGAAGCAGCCCTTTTAAGGTTCACAGAAAATTGCTAGGAAAGTTGATAACATTGTTTGAGATCTTAATTCAGTGTATGAGACAATACAAGTACACTGGATTATTGGCAAGATCAACTGGATTTTCTCTGTACTTGCAGAAAATGTACTTGGCTTCTAAAGAAAACGAATACATCCATCCCATCTAGGGACTTTGCTGTCTTAAAAGATTTATATCCATAACTTGCCAGTTCTAATTGCATTATTGCCTTTTGACTATTTTGGTAACAATTTCATTTCCACACATTATCATGTTTACGTGCGCAGTTTTTCAAAATGCAAAATGTTTTCCCCAGTGGAGAAAAACAAAATAAAACATTAGGACATGACCTAAAATTAAGAGGTGAAGGAATTTTACTTACAATAAGGCCTCATCCACACTGACTTTTGCAATCTCTCCTAGACACCTGTCATCCTGGCAGCAGCATTTTGGCTGAAAAAAAAAAAATATGATGCTTGTAAACACATGTAGCATGTTTAGGTGTGGTAAATGTAGGCCAAAGTGTATTCTGCTAAATGTCTTTGGTAAAAAAAAATCCCAATAAGTGTATATTAATTGGTTTGTATGAAAGCTATAGTGTCTACAAACTGCGGTGTATATACTGGAATTTACTCAGCTATGATGTTATACTGGTAATGGCGGTGATCAACAACTTATAGTGGAACTGTGATAGTGTGGCGGGCAATCTGGATCTAGTTGACGCTGTCTGAGAGAGACACTAACTGACACCAATTGTGGACACTAATACAGTGATCAATGCTAATACTCTACACTATCACTGTACTAATGACACTGACTGGGAAGGGGTTAACATCTAGGGGCAACCAAAGGGTTAATTGTGTGCCTAACAATGTGTAATGTGTGTAATATGTGCTGCTTTTACTAATAGATGTGGTGATTTGCTAAGCCAGTCAGTAGGTCCCGGCCACGTGCATGTACATGATGCAGTGAGGTGGCCCTTAAATCTATTAAAAAAAATGTATTTCTAATGATATGTTCCAGTTTTAACCTCTAAGTGTGTGTGTGTGTGTGCGCACGAAAATCCCAGTAGATCAGCAGTTTTTGAAATACTCAGACCGCCCATCTGGTACCAACAACCACGCCACACTCAAAGTCACTTAAGTCCCCTTTCTTCCCCATTCTGAAGCCTGGTTTGAACTTCAGCAAGTCGACTTCACCATGTTTACAAGCTTAAATGCATTGAGTTGCTGCCATGTGATTGGCTGATTAGCAATTTGTGTTTCCAAGCAATTGAATAGATGTACCTAATAAAGTGACAGTTGAGTGTAAAAAAAATCAACAACATTTATTGGGGCCAAAAACACTTGCAGCTCACAACACAAAAGAAGTTCATGTATTTTTTCAAGCTTCAAGTGACACCATGCTGAGGTGTGACTGAATACCATGGGAGTTTGAATGTTACACATTTTTGAGTTTTAAAGCTCAGGAGCGATTGGGGTCAAACGGTTAATTTTTGCACTGAAGACTGGTTAGTTTGTTTACCCTTATTACCTAGCACCCTGGAAAGGTTTGCTTGGATAAATACATTTGGGCTACGTAGGTATACTTTTTTTCACTTCTGAAACTTTTTTACAGGTTCATCTAAAAAATACAGAAATTGAAAACACCAAGCTGCTTACTGAGGTGCAAACACTAAAAAATTTGGATGCCAATAAGGAGAATTTAATTACACACTACAAGGAGGAGCTTGGTAAAATGAAGCTCTGTTTGGGTGATAAGGAAAAGATGTGCAAGGACCTGCTTCAGAACTGTTCAGAAAAGGTGAGAGCAGCTCTCTGTGGGACTTAAGACACTTTATACACAGTGATGACATGTCATGTTTTCTGTTTATTCAGCCGAAAAAATATTTTTCCTGTTCGTGAGCTGAATTTTTAGTCCATAACGTTTCACCTGACCTTTGTATGGCTACTTAGGAAACAATTGGGTAGAGAAAACTGATGGAATTTTGCCTATATCAATGAATAATGTTTTTGTACTCATTTTCTTACTTGCTCAGAAATCTTGCTGGTCGTGTTATTGCAACATTTTTTAGCTTCGTACTTTTACTCATTCAAGTTTTAAAACTGATCTTGACTTGGCCTAAAATGCTGCTAAGGTTACAGTTGGAGTGATTTCTGGCTGGTTATATAATGTGGTCCCACTGTAGGGGAGAAGGGAAGAGGACAATGTTTGTGTGTGTGTTAATCTGTGGCCTGTTCATATCATATGTTCTCTGTAATTGAACGTATGTCTTTTGTAGAAGATACATAAAAGACCTTTTGTAGTGGTGTCTACAAGTACCTATGTTAGTCTTCATTTTAGCCTATGTGTCCATGTGGTGTTCCCTTGAATTTTAGACCTAGGCCATTCATGGGGTTTAGACTTTTAACCAAGTCTTGATAGTGCTATTACCCTCTCTGATGCTAAGCCACCCGCATTCTTCAACTATCAAATGCCAGAATGTCAGTGGGTAGTAAGGTTGGTTCATACTGAATTCGACTTTTAAATTATGCTACTTCACTTGAGGTAGCGCGATTTGAAAGCCGCAGGTCAGTTTGATTTCAGATACGACTTGGCTGACATCTGTGCGACTTCATGCACAGATGTCTATGCACGTCGCACCTGAAATCACCGAAAATCATGCAGGAACTATTTTCAAAGCGGTTCCATTGCTGACAATAGGGTGCAACTTTTCATGTGATTTGCAACTGTCAAATCACATAAGTCGCATTGGTGTGAACCGGGGCTTAAGGCTCTGGCATTGGACAGTTACTCTCCATTTACAGCCTGTCTCTCGGATCCAATTGAGCCCCACAGGCATTTGCAGATTTGCAGTCTTGTATAGGTACTGGCTTCTTCACTTTTAGCACTGTTGTTACCTTACGTCAGGCTACCTTTTAAAGCATCTGTTGTATCATCTGTTTCACAGCTGTTTGACTGCCACAGTTCATGAGTTTCTTGTATTTATAATCCACAGGAAGACATTGGTTTCTTAAGACAGCAACTTCGGAAAATTCAAGATGAACATCAAGGTAGCAGACAAGAGGTTTCCTTCATGTCCAAAGAGCTCAGCGACGCAGTAACTGTACGAGATAAAACCATGTCTGACCTGCATACATCACGCCTTGAGACAGAAAGTGTGAAAAAGCAGCTTTCTGATGCTTTGGCTCAGCTGAGCTTACGAGATTCACAAAGGCAAATACCTGTTGCAGTCCGTGGAAAAAAGGAACAGGTACAATGCAATTCTGGTGAAATGAGTATGGATAGCGTATACCTGGCATATCAGGCTGGCAGTATTGGACACCTTTGTGCAGTTGACCAGTTTGAAAACCTAAGCTGAGTCTGGTCCCTATGTATTCTTTAAATCAGGGGTAGGCAACCTTAAAGAGGTGGAGATCTACCTGAACAACATGTGAGAAGTCAAAGATCACCAGGCACAGTGTTGCTCAGTGTCGCCACCTCACACTTAATTTAAGCCTCTAATTGCTGTACTGCCGTGTCATAGTCACATGGATTGCACGGCAATCAAGGGTTTAAATCAGGTGGTGAGGAGGCAACATATCACCTCTTCACCACCTGTGAAACATATCACTTTTCAGAGAAGACACAGTGCCTGCTGCACTTTTGAATGAGCCCTTAGTTGCATTCGGCAGTGTACCCTTAGGACACATTCACACATGAAGTTGGGGGGTGGTAAAGCCCTGCGGTTGAGTCACACTTTTCCCACCCCCAAAATCTACCCCCTTTAGCTGCTGGGGCAGCAGCCAAAGGTATACACATGGAGCAGCAGGAATAAAGCCCCCTGTTGTTTTTGGTGGGTGCTACTGTCTGCCAATCATGACCAATCATGACCCATTCAAGCTCCCCTCAACTGCATGCTTCCACATGGTCCAAGGTGTTAGAGCAGGTCAGAGAAAGCAACACAACGCTGCCTGCCTTAACCTCTTGTTTGCCATACTGCACAAAGTTGCAGGGCACTTGCAGATCAGCCTCGTTCATTTGAATGGGTCATGCTTGGCAGGTGCTGCACCCACCAACCAAGACAGGGCGTATAACTCCTGCTGCGGGTGTGAGGAGGTGCAGTTGGGTTGGGGGTCTTGACTATGGGGACAATAAGAAAAAGTAAATGAACCCTTACTGTTTTGAGCCCCCTATAAGGCTGCTTTCACACTGATGTGCTGTGGTTTACTTGCACCATGGGTGCAGCGCAGTGCATCTGCGACTTTTCTAGGTTAGCTGCACATCGTGGGTGCAGCACAGAGCATCTAGGTTAGCTGCTTATAGACTTCTATTATATCCTGCAGGTGTGGTGCACTTTCTGAAAGCCCACCAAAACTCCTGCATTCAGGATTATAGGTGTGCTTTCAGAAAGTGAACCAAACCCGCAGGGTATAATAGAAGTCTATGGCTAAGCGCAGGAAAGCTGCAGGTACAATGCACTGCATCCGCATTGTGGGTAAATCATAGCACATCAGTGTGAAAACAGTCCTATACTATTATATCCAGTGTACTGCTTCACACTGACCTGAAGATCTTTTCTTTCTTGCTGCTGGCACCAATCTGGAGACCACTAGCTGGGATAAGAGGTGGAGTGCAGTTGGTATCATTCAGCATGGGACACGAGCAGCACTACAGAAGAGGCATCGGCTTATGTGGCTCTTGCTCCCTACTACAGATCCAACTTTACAAGTAGTCCCTCTGCATTGCACTCTGATGCTCTGGGATTGCAGGTCAGCGAGCCCAAACCATGATCTACCAGTCACCTGGCCGCAATCTACTGGTTGCTGAACCCCGCTTTACTTTATTGAATTAATATTATGCAGGTACTTATACAGCACCAACAATTTACGTAGCCCTTTGCATATATAGTGTATATTCACATCAGCCCCTGCCCTCAAGGAGCTTACAATCTAAAGTCCCTGATTTACATACATACATACTAGGGCCAATTTTGACAGAAGCCAATTAACCTACCAGCATGTCTTTGAAGTGTGGGAGTAATCTGGAGTACCCGGAAGAAACCGAAAAAGGCACAGGGATAACATGCTATCTCCAAGCAGGTGGTGCCGTGGTTGGGATGTGAACCGGTGACTTTAGTACTGCTAGGTGGAAGTGCTAACCACCTAGCCACTGTGCAGATTATTAAGGATTTATTTTCTTACACAGATTTCGAATTGATCATTCTGGAAAATGTTTTCACAGTTATATATTTGTGTTAGGACACAGAGAACAGCACAGTGGAGCAAGATCTTCGAAAAGAGGTTGAAGACCTGAAGTTGAGGCTACAAATGGCAGCTGATCACTATAAAGATAAATTTAAGGAATGCCAGAAACTCCAGAAGCAAGTTGTAAAGCTTGTAAGTAGTCTGTGTTAGTAGCAGTGTTAAACTTCTGTTATTTAAAGTGGTGTGTACATACCTGATGTGAAAAGGTTATTTTTTGTCATGTTTATTGTTTCTGCTTTGCTCTTTTTTCATAGCATTTGTTAAACAAACACTACAGCCTATGCAGGCATATGAAATCATTAGCAGTATATTGACACTCATAATAATGAGTAGGAAACTTCAAAGCTTACATATAATGTATAGAAAGTTGCAAATGCTATTAAGTTTTGTTAATTTGTTTGTTTCCCTCTCTTATACCAGAAGAGTGTAGAAGAGAAACAAAAGGAAACAGATGTACTTGTGTTGTCTGAGGCAGGAAATGCAGAGGCTTTAAACTTTTCTCCATCAGGTAAAAATACATGTGTTTATTTAGTAGATTGTTTGAAATATTCTTACCCTTTTGTAGTTTTAACAGTGCACGGACAGTTAGCAATGTGTATACAAAGTAACTATATTGGTTGTAGATGTTCTTAATTATGATATCTTAATTGTATGGTACGGGACACATGAACTGATCTTAGATAATAAGTTATGTGCTGCTACGTCCAGGTGATTAGATACTGACAAAAGCTTGGCTGGAACTGCCTCTTCTCTCCCAGTGTACCCATATAACCCAGTCCTCTCTGTGAAGCTCCAGTTTGTAAGAGATGGACCCCTTTTTCTGTGGAGAAGATTTTTTCACCCATTTCCTTTGCTTCTTTGACAACACTTCTATCAAGAACTGACTGCTTATCGCTCACTAGCAGTTTCAGAATCAGGTACCCTAGATATATAGAGCTTTGGAACCATACCCTGGGTGCTTTCTGGGACCATGGTTCATGACTGCTGATGAGCATAGGCCTGAATCCCAATTGATATTACCTTAACATTTCCCCTCATCTAAGAAAAACACACGTAGAACAATGTAATTGGAAAAAAGGGCAAGGCCACAGCTTTATTTAAATTCAAACACAGACAAATCCAAATTAACCATTTTAACCAGTTTCTGCTGAAAATGCAAGCTGACTCATGTGTTGCTTGATATCCCAGGGACACAGGAACTCTGTTAGCGCCTGGGTTGTTGCAATTCCTTCTTGCGAGACATGCTGGATCCTCGTAATCAGCATCCATTCTGTGAGTACCCCACAGAGTTAAAGCCGCTTGAGAGTAGGAGCACATGGGACAAACAGCAGGAATTCTGCTGAAGGCGCTCGGGGAAACTCCAAGTTCCCTTGTTCCTGGAGCAAGGCGTTCCACTGACCCTCCAGGCAAAATCATTATCTACTGCAGATCCAGCCTTTCCTGGCAAATCCTCCATCTCTAAGTCCACCATACCTGCTCAGAAGCCTTCTTTATATTAAAGGTTCTCGTCCATTCCTGGAAGGTGAAAGGACATGTACCAAAATGCTCCAGCCTACACTTGCCAGACATTGTTTTACATCTGTCTTAGGAAAGGTACACAAATAGTCTTTAAATATATGACTCAATGTGCAGTGCTATAAGCGCTGCACATTGATTCATTTATTTAGATTATTGTGGAGGTAAATGAGATTCGCATTTAGTGCTTGGTGGTTTTTTAATTAATAATCATCTTTTAAAATCAGTGTGATAGGTTTTTTTTGTTGTACACATAGCAGCGCACAAGATTGATTGATTGTTTTTTGTTTAACAGAAATAGTCTCTATTGCTGTCCTCGCGCTCTCTCGCTTCCTTTCTACTTATCTGTTCCTACTTGCTTCACAAAAAGCAGACACTATACACACAGTCATGAAGGGTTATACGCACCATCTATGCACACAGGGCAGTCCTTTGCTGAAAAACATTACCACACTTGTGGTGCTATAATAATAGACCCTTATTCTGAACATTCATATCCTAGGGTGCCTTGGGGACCTTCTACAAGGATCCTGAGCCTAATTCTTTGAACCATATGCGAATGCTCTCACTTCTCCCTCCAGTTGATCCTGAATCTTTCTCCTCCCTCCAGTTGATCCTGAATCTTTCTCCTCCTTCCGGTTGATCCTGAATCCTTCTTCCCCCTATCCTTGTACTGCCCAGGGTATTTGGGTCTAATCGAGACATCATTAATATTCACATTTCCTTCAGCTCGGAATCACACCCTTTTTCACATATCTTCCTGGCTTACAAACCTCAGACTCTGCCCTGAGCTTTGAAATGCCCCTCCTTTCTGTATCAGGGTTGTGGATTACACAGTTGATTGTTTTACAAACTGAGAAGCCATTATGCTTTTGTCCCCTCAAAAACCATGTCTTTTTTCTACCAGTCGAATGCATTCTCTGGCCTAACATTGGTAAAGGTTGCATTGCCACTCTTCCCAGTAGTCCCCCTATGTGTTCCTCCCTCAACATGCAGGGTGTCTAGTTGCCCCTGCACTTGCCTTCCTTTCTCACCAAACATATTCAGTTATATGACTACTCTACATTATTTTGCACAGAGATCTACCATGATAAGGAACTCATCCCAGATTTTGTTCCCATTCCTCATCCTGCAACTTCTTCTGTTTGAAATGACCAAACACCTAGCCCCTGGTACCCTACAAGTCTTTTGCAAGTTATTGCTCTTCCTTGTCATCTTGTGACTTTGTGTCTCTCTGGGATCTTCCTTAGGAGCTCTTGTCTATGCATTGTGATGACTCCTATAAAATGTCCTCTATAAGAACACAGCCATCTTCTCTCTGTTTCCCTGACTGCTGTAGTTCTGTCTTGGCTTCCCTTGCCTCTTCTTGGGAGTCCCCTTCTTTTCTTACGCTACATGGGGACAAAGAATCCTGGATGCCAGGATCTTGCCTTCCTGTGGTTCTTTTTATTGCCCTCTGTGGAAATGTCCTTTTCCTTTCCCATGTCCTTTCTTGAAGCCATATCAAACAATTTACTATGTACCTTGTGCGTGGGATCAGGGCTGTCATAAATGGCCACATCTTCCTTTGGGAACTGATCACTCTTTCGTTTCCTTACAGCATAGGCCCCTTATGAGCTTCCTCCCTTCTCTTCCACCCGGCTAGGTGGATATATTGCCCTTTTTCTAGCGGTTTATGCCCAAAGTAATTGAGTCTCTCCCTCCCTGAGCCCATGCTTCCAAAGTTATTTTGGTTCTTGCTCTTTTTACAGCATCTAGCATCAGTTTTTTTCTCAACAGTTGCAGGGCCACCCCGTTTCCCTGTTCACGTTTTTTGACAGGTGGCTGTTTAATCCTTTCCTGATTTATGCTTTGAATGCAAGGTGCTTCTGCTGTCAACTGTCTTTTTGGGTCTATTTCTTTTGTTGCCCACAACTTGATTATTGCTTGGGGAGTTCCATGGTATAAGAATCAATTCCTGTGTCCTGTATTGAATGTCTTGGAGTACAATACATTACACATATACCTTCTCTTTTTTTTCTCTGAAATTATTTCACTGCTTGCTAAAAAAAACAAAAAAACTGGGGGCTTACAGATTGGCTAGAAGTTATATGGATACACATGGGGTCGGGTGCAGTCCCAGCAATGCTTTTGCCGGTGTCCAATCACCTGAAGGTAGCAGCACATAACCTATGGTCTAAAAATCAATTCCTCAACTCACATTCAGCAGGCAACATTTAGGGTACATGTACCAGTGAGCAAATTGACCATATAGGGCCACCAGAGTAATCTGCAGACATTCTAGTAGACTTTTCATCACACAGATGCTTGAGAACTTATGCATAAAAGAATCCCAACACTTGCAAATGCAATATAAAAAAAAAAACTTGTGACTGTAATGCCTTAGTCTAATAGAAGTGATTATATGTAATATTAGTATATACTCAAATGCAGAAGAAAAGGGCAGTGAATAGGGGCCTTTAAAAGACTCCACTGAGAACATTGAATCATTCATACCAGTCCTTGCCCCAGTCGGCCTTATTATCTAATGTCTGTATCCTAATCTTATAAACACGCTGTCTTTAGACTGTAAAAGGAAATGGAACACTTAGAGTAATACTCCTATGAGTCTGTACATGTGATCACTCATTTTATTTATTTCCTGCAGTGAATCCATTTTCTTCTGACTCTGTACCTGAATTTGTGATAAAAGAGCAAGTGGCAGATATGAACAAGGAAATTGTAGAGAAAACAGAGAAATATCGAAAATGCAAGCAATTGTTGGCAGTAAGTGACCTGTCATATCTTACAACAGTACTATACTAGTCATTATATCTGGATTTTTGCAGTGTACTTTATTGTTGGATATACAAAATTGGCCCTGGCCTCCTCATGAGCCTTGCAACAATTTCTTTTTAACATTTCACATATGCATCTTTCTAACCAGGATACCCTTTTTTTTTTTTTTTTTTTTTTTTTTTTCTTGGTATTTTCAGTGGCACAAAACCTGTAGCTGCTGACTTTTAAAATACAGCCACTTACCTGTCCTTTGGTCCAGCGGTGTCCTCACCTCTGCTGTTTTCACCGGCCGTCTTCTCTCCCTGGCGCCGGCATCTTTAGTGTGGGTGCCCACTGCGTATGCACTTTGTGAATAGCCCCGTATTCTTCTGGGATCCGTCCCGAGTCCCAGAAGACTACGGGGAGGGAGGGGAGGACAACTTGTGCTTTCGATCACCTAGGCGTTCGCAGCAGAAGTGGTAACGGGTACCTGTCAAATTCTAGTACCCGCTCCCCCAAGGTGCTAATCCTTAATGGGAGTGGGGTCAAAGCATTAAAGTAGAACTTCCCCTTTTGGGTGGAGCTCCGCTTTAATACTGGACACTTTCACCCCCTTCCTGCCCAGGCCAAATTTCAGATTTCAGCCCTGTCACACTTTGAATGACAATTACTCAATTGCCCAAATTAAATTTCTATCATTTTCTGAGACAGAGCAAGCTTTCTTTTTTTGGTGGTATATAATCATCACTGGGTTGTTTATTCTTTTGCCATATAAACAAAAACATGCTGAAAATGAAAAAAAAAAAACCCATGTTCTATTTGTGTTATAAAATTTAGCAAATAATCTTTCTTCATAAATGTAGGCCAAAATGTATTCTGCTACATTTCATTGCTACAAATAACCCAAATCAGTGTATATTATTTAGTCTGTGTGAAAGTTAAAGCCTACAAACTATGGTACATATATTTGAAAATTGATCAATCGTGATGTACTGACTGCGTGTCTCATTTCTTGAGGCGCTAAAATGTCAGCACAGTACAAATACCCCCAAAATGATCACTTTTTGGAAAGTAGACAATCCAATGTATTTAGTAAGAGTCATGGTGAGTTTTTTGACATACGTTTCTGTCAGAACATTTTGGGAAAATGAATACATTTTTTTTTTTTTCCCCCCCCTCAAATTATTTCTCAAACACAGCATAGGCATACTTAGAATTGCACCCCAAAACACATTGTGCTATGCCTCCTGAGTATGGGGATACCACATGTGTGAGCCTTTTTCACAGTCTGGATGCATAGAGGTGCTCAAAATGTAAAGGACATCTTTGGGCTTTCAAGGAATATAAATTATGCATATAATTTCTTGACTACCTAACACAGTTTTGGAGGCCCTGGAGCACCAGGACAGTGGAAATACCCAAAAAATGACCCTATTTTGGAAAGTAAACACCCCCAAGGTATTTTTTGAAAAGAATAGTAAATTTTTTGAAATGTATTTTTTTTCTAGAAGCTTTTGGAAAATGAAGGAAAGAAAATAAAATTGTATTTTTTTTTTACACAAAGTTGTCAATTAATAAGATATTTCTAACACGCATCGTAAGCATACTTAGAATTACACCCCAAAACACATTCTGCTCCTACTCTCTGGACTGATTATATACTAGACATTGCATCTTGTGTATCACACAAATCTTACATTTGTGTCAAAACCAATGTACTGTAATGGTCACCTCTATACCAGTCAAGGAATATAGTGTAGAGTAGAGTCTCCTGTAGCAGTTCCAGTTTCTATAAGCCAAACAAGCCTAGCTTACTGGTACATGACTGCCTCAAGGAATGCCATGTTTATTGGTCTGGTGTCTTGCAGGAACCTAGTCAGTGGAATGTGCAGATGGATCTGTTCAGGCCGCAGGCAGAGACATGGTCAGCAAACAAGCAAAGGATCGGTCCAGGCAGCAGGCAGAAGCATAGTCAATAAACAGACCAGGTTTAGTGCAGGCAGAGGCAACACTGCACTGGTGTGGCAGTTATCAGAGACACTAACTGATGTGGTGGTGATCTGGAACAACATTGTAGCTGTTGTGGCATTGATCATTGACATGTAACTGGTAAGGTGAGGATCAGGGACAATAAGACTGGTGTGGCGGTAATTAGAGACAATATGACTTGTGTGGTAATGAACTTGGACACTGTGACTGGTGTGGCAGTGATCAGGGACAATATGACTGTTGCGGCGGTGGAGGTCATTAGGGACAATATGACTGGTGTGGCGGTCATCAGGGACAATATGACTGGCGTTATATCATATCCAAAACCAATCCAATTTTAAATGACTAGTTTGTAGCCTTGCTTTGATTAGCCAGCAAAAGACACCACTGATGCTTTCTTGTTTTTCCAGGAAGAAAAGGATAAATGCAGTGCTTTTGCTGATGGTGCTGCCAAGATGGAATTGAAGTGGAAGGAACAGCTGAAAATTAATGAAAGCATCAAGCTACAGCTAGCAGCTATTGAAGACCAGTATAAGGTAGGACTTTAGGCAGAACACACACACATTTCATGCTAGAGAATAATAATAATAATAATGAAAAAATCTGTTTTAAAGACAACCAACAGATGAACCACAACATTGTTAACAATATACTGTTCCAAAATTAAAACTTCATTATGGGAATCATCTTCCCATAACATACACTTTAATGAAAATCTCTGAATCCCAATAAAAGTGCCCCATAAAAGCAACACCATCACAAGACCCTATATGTAATAGATCTCCTAAGATGTAACAATATATTTTCAAAATGGGGAAAAAGTAACCCACGTGGAGCTTCCAACAAAATACAAGTTCCTAATAATATACATTAAAAAAAATCTCTCAGTATATGTTAAATACACAATGTAGCAGTATTCCGTTGTCCAGTGTGGTTATAGGTATCAAACACATTGAAGACTGATGTTAATGATTGTCTAGATGAATAAAGTGTGTATCAGTTATAAGTGTCAGTGGAAGTAAGGAAAAATATAAGTCTTGGAAAAAACTGCTGCATGCAGTTTATAAAAGCGAGCAATGTAAGTATCTTTTTTTTTTAATCTGCTTCAGTCACATGATGTAGTGTCAGTGAGTGGCTGCTGCAGGGGAGAGAAGGGTGCACTGACAACGCAGAAGAAATTTGGGAATTAAGGCCTATTGTCTAGTACTCCTTGACACAGGGAAGCTGCTGTTTCTGGATCACATGACCACACTGAATTGGATTAAAGAAAAGGTAAACTTCAAGTTTAAGGTATCAGAACCCCACTACTGGTCCATTTGTCAAAATTTGGAATATGTTTAATTTGACATAGGGTATAAAATCTCTTGAACCACAATTATTATTAATATTACAGGTACTTATACAGCACAGTCAATTTACGCAGCGCTTTACATACTTACATATATTGTACATTCACATTAGTCTCAAACCCTCAAGGGGCATACAATCTAAAGTCCCTAACTCACATTCATACATATCTATACTAGGGCCAATTTAAACAGGAGCTAATAACCTACCAGCATGTCTTGGCCGGAGTACCCGGAGGAAACCCACGCAAGCACAGGGAGAACATGCAAACTCCAGGCAGGTGGTGCTAAAAAAAATTAAAGGAATACTTTTTAATCAGAGCATAGCATCAAGTCAGTTAAACTCCAGGGATATTGATCTGGTCAGTTAAGTACCAGAGGGGGTTGTTAATCAGTTGTAGTTGCCTTGGTGTTAATGATATTAACAACAGGTGCACTAGATGGGCAACAATGAGACGATCCCCAAAACAGGAATGGTTTTACAGGTGGAGGCCACTGACATTTTTTTCCCTACTCATCTTTTCTGACTGTTTTTCACTAGTTTTGCATTGGCTAGGGTCAGTGTCACTACTGGTAGCATGAGGCGATACCTGGACCCTACAAAGGTTGCACAGGCAGTCCAACTCCTCCAGGATGGCACATCAATACGCACCACTGCCATAAGGTTTACTGTGTCTCCCAGCACAGTCTCAAGAGCATGGATGAGATTCCAGGAGACAGACAGTTAATCTAGGAGAGCTGGACAGGGCTGTAGGAGGTACTTAACCAATCAGCAGGACCTGTATCTGCTCCTGTGTGCAAGGAGGAACAGGATGAGCACTGCCAGAGCCCTACAAAATGACCTCCAGCAGGCCACTGGTGTGAATGTCTCTGACCAAACAATCAGAAACAAACTTCATGTGGGTGGCCAATGGGTGGCATGCCCGACATTCTCTAGTGGGCCCTGTGCTCATTGCCCGCCACCGTAGAGCTTGACTGGAATTTGCCATTAAACACCAGAATTGGGTGGTCCGCCACTGGTGCCCTGTGCTTTTCACAAATGAGAGCAGGTTCACCCTGAGCACATGTGACAGACATGAAAGGGTCTGGAGAAGCCATGGAGAACGTTCTGCTGCCTGTAACATCATTCAATGTGACCATTTTGCTGGTGGGTCAGTGATGGTCTGGGGAGGCATATCCATGGAGGGACGCACAGACCTCTACAGGCTAGACAATGGCACCCTGACTGCCATTAGGCATCGAGATGAAATCCTTGGACACATTGTCAGACCCTACACTGGTGCAGTGGGTCCTGGGTTCCACCTGGTGCACGACAATGCCGGCCTCATGTGGCGAGAGTATGCAGGCAGTTCCTGGAAGATGAAGAAATTGATACCATTGAATGGTCCCCACGCTCGCCTGACCTAAATCCAATAGAACACCTCTGGGATATCATGTTTCAGTCCATCCGACTCTGCCAGGTTGCACCTCAGACTGTCCAGGAGCTCAGTGATGCCCTTGTCCGTATCTGGGAGGAAATACCCCAGGACACCATCCGTCATCTCATTAGGAGCATGCCCCGATGTTGGCATGCATACAAGCATGTGGGGGCCATACAAACTACTGAGTACCATTTTGAGTTACTGCAATGAAATTGCAGCAAAATGGACTACCCTGCTGCATCATTTTTTCACT